TGCCCCACTGATCCCTTGCTTTGAGCCCAGTGCTAATGATTTTAGACATTTAAAATTGAGAGAATAAGTTTTCACTTATTTAAGTTACCGATATATGTGGTAAATTGTAAGAGCAGCCATTGGAAACTAATAGTATCCAAGACAAGTTTTAAAACTAATTACATGATGAAGTCCAGTGTTTAGTCTGGATTTACAAAAAGGATCAAAGACATAATCTTTATTTTTCACTTCAAGAAAAATCTAAATGGGACATGCATGAAATACTAATAGGTTAAATGTACTACCTTTAAAATAGTTAATGACTATTTTGTCCCTGACATATAAATTTATGAAAAAACATACTCCATAAACGTAAAAGGTTTAAACAGCTTACACCATATTTACTCTTTGAGTAAGGCATTCTGTAGGTTATGTTCAATTTATTAATGAAGACAATCAATCCATTTATGACTGCTTCATCCGTGTTTTTTGTGTTATTCTTGAGTCTTCCCAGGGAATATTATATATTTATTATAATAAGCTTCTCAGCTATTGGACACATTTCCACAGTATTCCATGAGTTTTCTCCTCAGAAGTTGAAATGTTTGATGCATTTAAAGTGTTATAATTATATTACAAAAGGAGGTAATTTGGATGTCACTGCTGGTTAGTAACATTTAGCAATAAAAAAAGAATATAAACAAAAATGTTTCTGAATTATGATTATACAAGGAAATAGTTTCTTATAGTCCTTTCTGTTTTGTTTTGCTGATGTTAAGAATTATCAATGCAATTAACTTCTCAATTAGTATTGCCCTGATATATCATTTTTTCTAAAGAATGATAAAATTACATTTATAAGTTCTTAAGTTATAAGCATAGTACATATGTGTGTAAAATTACTGTTTTTATCCTGAATACATTTCAGTTATGTGTCTACAACATCACAGTGAGAAAAGAATATGTCCAAGAAGCAAAACTATTAATCATTTATTTTTTTTAATTTGAGTGTATGTAAAAATAAATTAAATACTGAATAATTTTCTTTTAATGTCAAATGCAAATATTTGGAACTCCCTGAATTACTCCTTAATACTTACATGAAAGCACTATTTCAAATTCAGTTTGCATTCTGCCCTAAAGATAAAATCAGAAAGTTGGCCAAATATACTATCCAAATTGCACTCCTGGCACTAGAGAGGACTATTTAGAATTTCTAAATAGACCTTTCCTAACTGTAAAATACACATGATTCTATAAAATATATGAATGCTATTGGAACTCTGTTGCTAGGATAACTTTATTCCAAGCTGGTATTTATTATCAAAAATGATTTATGGCATGTGCTCAATCCAAATAAATATAGGGAACACCACGGGAGGTATTGCGTTGTAAGACTCTACAAAGAGCTTCTTTTTTTCATTAACTTCCATTTCTGGTTGCTATGGAATCCAGTGACAACCATAAATTTTGGAAATTATCACCATCTGCCCACACCCACCTCTAAGGTTACACAAAAGCCCACTGAAGCAAACAAAATAACAAATAAATGAAAAGTTGATAAGCAATCTCATTTCTTTAATCAGAGATATCTAAATACATAATATTAGGTATGGGAAAAGACATTTAAAAAAATAAAGAGTGATTTTTTTTTCCCCTGAGAAAGCAGATGCCTCTAGAAAGAGCATTTAACTTTATTCATCTTGAAAAGAAAAAAATATGAGGAAATGATTAGGAACAAACTGATAGGTTTCTAAAAATTTAAAAAAAATTATAAATTTTATTTTTCACAGAACCAATTTTTGCAACTCTAAAGTTAAAATTACATTTGGTTTGTTTTTTAAATAGTAATACAGGAAGTACAAAGAACAGGTCAATATCTCTATGAAGGCTGCAATGCAAATCTTAGGAAGGATTTGAAATTTGGAGGATGGGGATTGTATTCTCTATTTTGTTGAGGTTTACATGGTTTTTGTTTTGCTAGTTGTAGAAACATGATTCCCAAGTCTTTTAAAGATGCCAATGTACAGAGACACTCGGAACCAAATTAATAAATTCCTAAACTCACAGATCAAAAATAATTGACATGTAATCAAATTAGTGTGTTTAATGTCAACAGACTTGATGTATAAGTTTTATCATTAAATTAAAAAATAAATATTGCTCTTCACCAACCCCATCTCAGGATAAAAAAAATAAAATTTTATTTTTCAAAAGAAAGCAGCAAATATAAAGTACAGGGATATAAAAAACTATTAATATTAAATCATATTCCCTCAGAACATTAATTACTTACTCCTTGGTAGAAAAATGTTAAACTTTTTTGAGAAATGCAACTCTTTAAGATCATTTTCAGTTAAAGCTATAAGAGAGTAAATAGCTCATTCTCTAAGGGATTTAATTATTCCTATTCCCTAAAATCTGAAATTCTCCATCTAGAAATTTTTATGTAAAAAGAAATCATATCTAATATAATAAGATAAAATTATTCATTTGTGGCTCTGAAAAGCTTCAAATCTGTGACTCAATGTTTAAAAATTGAAACTAAGTGTAATAGGATGTACTCAAAGCCATTCAGTGGTCTCCTTAGAAAACTGAATGGTCTGATACCCACAAGCTCAATCTAGTCTGCCTTCTTGATGAACCAAAATCTCCTCACCCTTTCCTGGAACATGATTTCTTTAGGTCTTTTTCAATATAATTCTTAATAAGCTAATGAGAAATTCTGGTTTCTGTGTTCATAACATATAAGAAAGAACAAAAGTGAAAAAAAAAATGTATAACGCTACTTTAAAAATGAATGTCCATAGGGCCTCCCCTGGTGGCGCAGTAGTTGAGCGCTGGGCTGCGAAGCTACCTGCAGCCTCTGCAGCACTGGTTCGATCCCCGGCCATAGGAGAGAGTCCCACATGACGCAACAGACCCCTCCTGCCGTGCCCGCTGCTCCCCTCAGCAGTGTATTTCTTCTTCAGTCTGTCTGTTCTGTTCCCTGCTCTGGCATCTCTCACCCTCCCGCACTTCTGACTGTACCCAGTGCTTGTATAAATAAATAAATAAATCTTAAAAAAAAAAAGACCCTAATTAAAAGTCTAATTTTAAAATCTTCATTGTTTCTGTTTACTTAGCAAGAAGTGTATATTTCAAAAAGAGTTCTATCAAAAATAACTATTTTGATTTTGAGGGTTTTTTAAAGATTTATTTATTTAGGCATATAAGAACTGGGGTACAGGCCAGAGGTATAGGAGGTGAGAGGATTCACCAGAGACAGAGTGTGGAACAGAACAGACAGACTGACTGAAATACACTGCTGAGGGGAGCAGCGGGCAAGACAGGAGAGGTTTGCTGTGCTAAATGCGGGTTAGCCCCCTGGACAGGGATCGAACTCGTGCTGAAGTAGCTGCAGATAGCTTCATGGGTTGTATCTTAACCCCTTGCACCACCAGGGAGGCCCTTGATTTTGAGTTTTAATGTGATCTTCAGTTATGTAGAAACTTTACTTATTGCAAAGTTAATTGTATGTATTAAATATCTGAGTTGTTGCTTTACTAAGATTCTGATGGCATCACCTTTTTTTCATCATTATTTGATAATGAAGTACTTTCTTCACCTTAAAAGAGTAAATGTTGGCAGGCAATTTGGAATCAGCTTTTCCCTATTTTAATACCAGTATATTCTGAACTACTTTCCACCAATAAGGTAGCTGGGATTAGTAATATGTGAAAGTTAATAGAAAGACCAAATGCAGAATAATCACTATTAAAGTGATTATTTTTAAAATCTCCAAAACACAGCTCACTGAGAATTAATTATATCACATATTCATCTGAAAAATTAGCACAAAAATATAACTCTTAATGAGAAGTTAAATTATTTACTATTAAAAATCTTTGGTACCTTTATGTAAAAAAAAAAAAAAACCTACATAAAATGAACAAATAGCTTCAATTTGAACTCAACATACATTTAATAAAAGGTCCACAAAGGTGAATAAACCATTCATATGCTGCCATAAAAATGAAGAAAAGTTAAAATTGTCATTGCTTTCAAGTAGCTTTCAATCCAATAAAGAATGTCAAAATCCGATAACATATAACATGATTATATTACAATATGGAGAAAGACAAGGGAAAAGGGAAAATAATGATATGGAAATTCAAAGAAAAAATGAAGACTCTTTCCTCCTCTTGCCAGTTTATGTTCTTTGTATTAGTTGTATTTCATAATTATAAATTTTTCTCTATATTCAATAAAATTCCATGATGGCAAGAATTAATGCAAATATTCTATGTTACCTAATATTATCAATATTATAATTTTAATTTGCTCATGGATCTGGATGAAACATGGAAAGTGGGCAAACGTGTGTGTGTGTGTGTGTGTGTGTGTGTGTGTGTAAATAAAAGAATCCATGAACACATCCAGGTAGTGAAATGCAAATGAGGTATTTTGGGATGTGGTATACTACTAAATTGTTCATGGAATCAAGCTTATGTGGTCAACACTGTTTTTTCACTTGTAACTTTTCAAAATTTTAGTAATAAACATTCTTCAAATGTGTCTAAAGAAAATGTATTCACATTCTAATTTCAGAAAAATTAAAAGATTTCTAATTGACATAGTTACTGCATTTGGTTTGGATGCACTTCAATCTATCTCAAATGATTGTGGGAGGAAAAATGATTAGAACTCAGAGACTTGAGTTTGGATAACCCCTGGCAGTTACCAGCTGATTGACCTTGGGAAAGTCACTGATTATCTCTGAGTTGTGACTCATAACAGGAAAAATATTATATTTTAATATTAGTGAGAGGATTGATCAGCATAACTCCTAGCACTGTGCCCAATTAAGCTTCTTTCATTTTATTTTAAAGAATGCAGTTTTGAAGTAAATTTTTATCATTAACATTGTGGAAAAAAACCTAACTGATGGGTGCAAATATCTTCATAAACATCAGTTCATGTAAAAGCCATGGCACTGGCTGATTTTTAGTATTTTTGGCATATGTAAGTAGTGCTCTTACCTGTTGGTGGGATTATCCCAGGAGACATGAGGCCAGGGACAGAATGTGGCATGATATGAGAATTCTCTGGGGAGGTGACACTTTGAGTCCTCTTCGGAGGCCTTCCAGGTCTAGAACTGAAACAAATAAACAAAAAATTTTTACAATTAAGCTGTTGTCTTACACATCATTTCAAAGTTGTTTCAAGTGGTAACATGGACTGTAAATAAATTTGTTTCAAGGACGGTTGCTTTTGCAGTTAGATGTAATAGACTTCCATCACTAATTAGATTACATGCTGAATTCATTTTCCTCATTGAAGATCAGCCACTCTTGATGCATAATTCATAGCCTGCACCTCGTTACCTGCTTCTTCATATTAATATCTATACACAGTTTGAATTGCCTCGTTTGCATATGCTAAAGTTCTGCATGCAGCCTTCAGCACGAAAATTATGCACTAACTTGTAATAATTATTACAGTCAGCCTGCTATTGATTTATGAGACTTTTAAAAACCAAATATGTGTAGTACTTGTAATGAATGATATTTTAAGGTTCTTCAGGAAATTAAAAGGCAATGGCTGCCTAAGGAAATGTTCTGCTTGTTTGATTTAATACTACAGTTAGCTGGGAGGTGGAATGAAAGAGTGATTCAGACCTATAGCACATTTTTCGATGATATGTTTTATTACTTCGCACTGCTAGCCTGATATCTAGATGATAAATGACAATACATATCTAATGTGTGAAAAGGTCTTGCAATTTCTTTATTTTTTGTCATTTAAAAGATAAGTCAAGTTATCATTTAACCCTTATTTGATTTAAATGAACAGCTTCACTAGTTGCCTTATTTTAAAATACTAAAATATGTTGGAAGATTTAGGATTATTAGTAGGACATCATTGAAGAAACTGCTATGTTTAGCATCATATACCAGCCTTTAAGGTAAATAAAAATACTTTGTGTTTCTCTTTTACATGACTATTACATGACATTAACTTTAAAATTACACAAACAGAAGGTGAGGGAGAAACAAGTATTCATCATTCTTGTATGAGAATAACATGAAGAGCAGATTACTGATTTTTGAAATAAACATCCTTTACATTACATTTCCACTTTCTGCCTCTGTATCATGAATGTGCTTTTATGAAATACTTTTCCATCATATATTTGGTCAATATGCACCTACATATATTAAAACCTCCAGAAACAGAATTCATAAGTTAGCATTTCCATGTTAGCCTCAGCTAACATCAAAAGATTCAAAAAGACCCTACGTTCATTGTTTAGTACAAACAGTATAGGCAGCAATGCAGGTGTTCAATAAATAATTATTAAGTACTTGCTGTTTTCACAATAGTGCACTGTGGAGGTTAATTTAGGAGAATGAGTTCTTAGTCTTCAGGAACTTATACTCTTGTCAACGGGGCCAAATATGGTACATAAATACTTATGCTTCAAATCCTAATGTGCAGTGGCATAAGAAAGTTGTAATCGGAATACAAATTGGAAGTGAAGCTAGAAGATGATACTTCCACGTTGAGGAGAGAAACTCTGGTGGCAGAAGCACTAAAAGGGGGTTTTGAAGGACAAGTTAGACATGGAGAAGAAAGGATGGAAGGAAAGGTCATTTGAGAGAGATTGTAAGAAAGGATGGAAACATGAAAATGTATGGATGTACAAGATTATTTCCAACGAATTGAAAGAAGATAAGTGAGAAATAGAAATGGAGATGAGAAATAAAGAAGAGGAGACTCTGCCTGGGAACAGATCCTGAATCACTTGGGACCGAGAGCAAGGAGACTATATTTGCTTTGCTAGCCAATACTCTTCTGCATAATATTGTGAAATATCTCTCTAGTTTCTTCCTATTCATCATTACTATTTTTCATCCTCATTTGGCTCTTTAACTCCTATTATTTCCACAAGTCAATCAACAACCCTCTGATAGTCTCCATTCTCCCTGAGTTATCTCTTCTATCATCATCACTTAGATAGTAAGAAATAATAGCTAAATATACATCTACAACCTAGATCTTCATCATGGGATTCAGACAGATTAATGTCCATCTACCGGAAATCTCTGCTTGGATGCTCTATAATAATCTAAGACTCAGCTTGTCCAAAACCAAATTCAGCATCTTCCCCATTAAAACTTACTTCTCTTTCCCTGGTTCAGCAAAACAGCACCTAATTGACGAAACTGAAAGTCCAGTACTCAGCAGAGTTGTTTCCTTCCCTTGTATACTTGAATATCACACCAACGGAGTTCTACACATATACCTCTCTGCCTCTATCCCCACTCCCATCTTTCAGATCAATCACTCTTATTTGATCTACTATCACAGCTTTCCAAACTCTTCTAAGACATACTTTAGCTTTGTGCCACTCCACAGTCTAGTGTCTATTAGAGAACTCTTCATTTTAGTCTCTGAAGAATTTTTCTAAAATGAAAATATGATCCTGTTTTCCATTTGCTTACAGATGACAACAGTTCCCTACAGTATTTTTTTTTTAAGATTTATTTTATTTATACAAGAACCAGGGCACAGGCCAGATGTGTGGGAGAGTGAGGGGATTCACCAGAGACAGAGCAAGGAACAGAACAGGCAGACTGACAAAACACACTGCTGAGGGGAGCGGCGGGCATGGCAGGAGAGGTCTGCCCCGCCATGTGGGTTGCTCCAAGACTAGCGGGGATCAAACTGGCACTGCAGAGGCTGTGGTGGACAGCTTCCCAGCACTGCGCTCAACCTCCTGCACCACCAGGGAGGCCCCATCCCTTCAGTATTCACACACTCTTCTTAAAAAGGCGTCAATGTTTCCCAATACTTGGTCCTGCCTGTTTTTCCAATCCTTTTGTTCCTCCATTAATGATTTATATTAGGCACTACTGAATTTAACAATTTTCTGCATCATTTTGATCCCTATTACACTACCTTTTCCACAGATTACCTAGTTTCCCACCAACACCAGGCTTATCTTCATTTCACCAGTTTAAACCTTAAAGATTCTCCTTACTAATCACTTCTAATGAATATTCCTCTTTGCACCGTGTTGAACAACTCTAGCACAGTTCTTTCTGTGCTGATTATAGTATTCTGTTTGTTTGACTCCCAAGACTGTATGGCATAAAGTATATAAAATCTGTTGTTTAGTACTTAAAACTTAAGACCTGGTCAACCATATGTATTTAAATAAATGTTAAGCATTCATTAAGCACTTTCCTCCAAATTCTTCAAGTACCCTACTTCGTGTATTCCAGCAGTCTCCAAGTTCCCAAGAAAAGTTGAAAAAGCTGGGATTCCGAGTCTAAAGATAAAGCTAAGTATACATATGAAGCCGAAAGACAAAGGAGGCATTGGATGACGATCGCAAATAAAACATCATGAAGAATGGGTGAGGGGGAAGAAAGGAAGTTGAATTAGAAACTTAGCTTTTAATTGGCTTTGTTTTTAAAGAAAATGAACCTGTTCAGGACTACCTCATGACTCAGGCCACAGGAGATGTCCTCACTATCCTCACCTTGAAGTAGAAGTCAGGCTACCAAGTAGGAACACTATTTCTTGCTGTGTTTAGAATATACCCTGGGGGCTCCTTTCACTCTAGATATCTCCTGCCCAATCTATCATTTTGCCTCCAATTCCAACAATAGAGATTTACTGCATTCAGATTATAAACTCTAAGATCTTTTAAACCTTCCATTAAAATGCAAATACTCTGGGTGATGGTAACACCTTAAAGCCATCAACTAACACCCTACTGAGAATTAGTTACAATTAGAGGAGAGCCAAGATTTAAGTTATCTATGCAAACAATGGAGGTACCTGGAAGCAATTTAGAAGGAAACTTGTCTATTAGATATTTGCCTAGGAATATAGGCAAATGGAACCCCACCCCCCTTGGAGTCATATATGATCTTGTTTGACAGGATGTTAGAAATTTCATTAACAAAACTTGCCTCTTTCCTTATGATACTTTATGCCACTTTGAGTATGGAAAGGTAACCTAATAGCATAATACTGGAATATTAAAAGTACTTTAAGCAGAGCTTTAGAAAACTTCTAAAAGAATATATGTAGTATTGTGGCAAGAAGTACAGGCTATATTGTCTTGCTAGATCTTGATTTAAATGCTAGCTTTACCAGGTTCCTAGAAGGTGTGACCTTGAACTAGCTACCTAACTTATTTGAAAATCTGATTAAATAAGGATTTTTTTTTTTAAGTGTGCTTGCTTTTTTTGTTAGGAATAAGTGGTTCTTGGAAAGAAAAACAAAAACTTAACTGAAAAGAGGAAATGAAACAATTAGCAGAAGCTTTCTCTTACAGAATGATCAATTGTCTCAATAGTAGTAGCCTTCAAGCCTCCTTTTCTACAAAGACAACAAAACCTTACCCCAGGGGATCAGAGCAGAGGAACTCTACTATTTCCAATCAAAGCAGAAGACCTCAGTTAAATAAATTATTACCATTAGTAGCTTGAATGAAATCAAAATTTATGACTTTGGCAACGGTTTTTGCCAGATTTATACATGAGCCATAGTGCAGACTTCAGGATGTTCAACCATCTGCATTGAGAGATTTGAGCAATGGCTTAGGGATGTCTGTAGCCACATTTAATATTTCACTTAATTAAGACTCTACCCAGGCACACCCTTTACTGTAGCTAGGAATAAAAGTTTGTTGTTTTTTTTTCCCCTGAGACAAATCACTGGGTAGATTCTTTCCTTAGTTCGCATCATGAAATCAATCTCATGTTTATTTCTGTCTCTTTCTTATAACTGTCTAATATTTAGCAACTCTTCCTAGTCCATTTGTTAGGGGGAAAGGATGTCCTGAGATAATTCCATACAGGCTTTGTGGACTCCATCCCAACTACAGACCAAGGCCATCAAGACATTGGGAAAGACAAATCCCATCACCATCAAAGGGAAGGTTGCTGGGACCTGAGGATGGAGTTAAGCAGCCAGGTTTGATATAAAACCAGACATGTGGGCCTTGGGCTCTCCCTCCTCTTGGCTTCACAGCTTGTAGTTCGCAGCCAGCATTCCAAGTGCCACTGGGATTCCCGAGCAGTGGAAAGGGTAGGACGCATTTAAGACTTTATTTCCCTCTTTTCTCCCTGAGTTGTA